TACTTGCGCTGTTAGCATCTGTTGGAACAGTGCGAAGTTTTGAGGTGGTAGAGCGAGAACGTCGATTTCGCATTCATCGTCGAGGTCGATGAGAGGAAGGATTGGTTTGTCGCGCAGCTTAGACTCGAAGCTGTGTAGCGTCTTTGGCAATTTCATGTGAGGAATAGGTTGAGGGTAGCTGAAGCTATTGTGTTTGTTAACAAAATGCACTACGCTAAAACTAGTGTAAAGATCTTTCGAGGTTTTTTGAGTTTGAGAGATGAAAGTTATAGAGAGATTAGAAAGCTATGAAAACTAATCAACGAAGGAGATCCACAATCAAAGGATCGTAGATCTGAACTCCCGGGAGACTGTAGAGTGTGATAGAGTAGGTTGCGGTAGCAATCCTACTCACTCCACGATCCAAAAACGGAACGCGTGGAAGATTTGTCTAGCATTTATCTAGTAGCGTGGAAGTACTCCACGCTGGCTAAAATATCTAGAGCGATGTTTCATCATCAACCCTAGTTGACTAGAGCGTCATTGAGAACCCTGTCTCAATGACTATTCACGAGAGACTCAGTCATGAGTCGAACTCAAACCCTATCTAGGATCGAGTCGCGAATAAGGCTAGGAGCCGTGTATTGCAGAAATGCAGGAAGCCAAAATGATGGGTCTTTGCGCTGAAATAGCCAAAATTGACTTCAACTACAAGCTCGCCAAGAAGATTCGTGTCTGGACAAAGCAAGGGCAAAGCTTTCAGCCTTTCAAGTGTATTGTTACAGTGCAGAATGAAGACGGCCTCACTATCTTTTGGAAGGCGCTCAAATACAGTGAATCTTTTGCAGAAATAGAAGCTGATTTGATTCGTCTCAGGAAACGGCTGAACCTAAACAAAAAGAAGAAGGAGGAAGAACGCCAAAGGAAAGCGCTTCTTGATATGCTGCCAGATGGATCCGCCATTCCTGATGACTACGTCTTCAACATCCCTGACTCCCAGGCTGTCAAAGTGGTGTATGTGGACAACTGCTGCTCTTGTTTCAAGGTGGTCAAGAAGTGTTTTCCAGATGCACTTGTCTTGTTGGATCCTTTCCATTGGTTGAAAAGATGGAATGAAATACTTGTTGATGCCAATGGAGCGCAGGCTGGTATCTTTCGAGTTTTGATGAGTCGGGCTCTCTTCAACATTGAGCGAGGGGAATTCGAAAGAGCGAAAGAGTTCCTTATGAACAAGCTTGGAAGGGAGCCAACAAACAAAGAGGTTCTGAAAGAGGCAAATTCTGTTATTCCTCAACCAGATATCCTACGGTCCAACGTGACAGCAGTCATCGAGTACATCATTGCCAAGGATGCAGAGACTGAGAGGAAGATATCTACCCGTGCACCCAATGACATCTCCCCAGTTCCCAAACGATTCTTCAAAGCCACAACACGAAATCGAGATGTCATTAAACAACAGATGACATACATCGATAAGGGTTGTCTTTCGGACCCAAGCTGTGTCAACCTGTTTCGTTTGAACCCCGTGACTGGTAAGGTCTATGTTGCCAGGGGAACCAACACCAATGAGAGAGACAACTTGGATTTAGCACACCAGATCCTCACTGCAACTCATATTGGTAAGTTCAACTTGGTGCATATTGATACGTCGCGTATCTGGCTACTGAAACATTGTTGTCATTGCACTGTCTGTTTTACAGGTGTGCATAGGGCGGAGCGACTGATCTATTATTTCTTTGAGTGGAAGAACCACAGAAAGGCCATTATCAGGTTGGGGATGCAAGATCATGGAACATTCGAGACTGAGAAGTTGATCCTACTGAACGGCCTTGCTGAAGCTGTTGGGTATGACCTGGAGAACCTTCCTTATCAAAATGTGTCTGCTCCAACAGTTGCAAGTGGCGAATATGAGAAGGAGTTCTTTGGATTCGCTTATGCTGTACCAGATGACTTGGATCAAGTATCGAATCCTACTGACAACACTGGTACGAATGACAGTTTACAAGAGGAAGAAGTTGCCGATGACGAGCAGGACGACGCCAACGAAGAGGAAGTGGATCAGACAGGAACTGCCGAGACCGACAATGATGATGTCGAAATTCGATTTAGAGAAGAAGATCTGGCAATCGCCAATGCTGAAGAAGAACAGAATCGACAAGATCATTTAGCGGATGTTGAAGAGCGAGCAAGGGCCATCAATGAAAGAAACAGCGATTTAATAGTCGCCGAAGTGAATAAGATTCTTCCACAAGTGGTTGGTACCGAAACATCACTTCAAGGCTTCCAGCGAATGACACAGCAACAAGCTTGGCTTCCCTTCCGTATGCCAGACAGCAATACTCGCCAAAGTGCAATCGACAAAGCTGAAGCTTCTTACTTCGATGATGTGCACAAGCAATACAGCAGCACTGCAAGGATTGGCTCAACAAGTTATCGGTCGTTCGAACGAGACTGGAACAATGAGGTAGCACGACGATTTCGCGAATGGACGGATGGTGATGAGGGCGTGCAGTTGATGAATCGCAAGAGCAGAGTTTTCCTATTGGACTACTACAAGAAGAAGAGGGAAGTTGAAAGCTTACAGGCAGTTGCTCCATTAGCCAATGACCCTGACCGTGATCGCTTGCAAGACCAGCTGCGACAGAATCGACGGAGTTTGCCAGCAACAGCGAATGCTCACCAGTGCACTCCTCCAAGCTACCCAAACAGAGGTGGTGGTGTACCTCATGGCAATCCCATGACACTCAACAACACTGTGACAGCAGCGCTGGTTACAAACACCAACAATGGAGAAGGAAGAGCCACAGTAGAGGTTTCCCCACCTCCACAACAGCCAACAGCTCCAATGCCGGCGCCAGTGAGGTATGTATTCAGGAGTAGGAGGTTCTGTGAGAAGTGTGGTTTCAAAAGGAGCAACCATGTGATAGAAGATGAGGGAGTTTCAAGGACTTGCACAAGAGGATATTGTGGAAAGTGCAGAGAAACCAAAGACCACCATGTCACTGACAATGATGGGAAGCTGCTCTTTGGGCAATACTGCACCAAGCCTACACATCCATGGCACAAGGATGATGTAGCCAAATGGTGGGATAGAAAGGTAAGTTTTGACTATTGTTGTTACTGATTCACTACTTAGATAACAAACACCAACAAAGATCATTCTTTCATCTCTCAATCTTCAGAGCTAGTGGTGGAGTCAGGTCCATCCATGTTGGGAGGGTAAGGAACAATTCCTCTTGTCTGAACATAAGTAATGATGTCACTAACAAAATCCTCACTCATCAGTGTCATTACTCTGAAGGAGACTTTCACAATTGGATAGGTCCTGTCAAACCAGTCAGACCAGTAAGTCAACACTGCATCATGGCCAAGGGATTCATACTCATAAGTCTCATGTGCCTCCACTCTAACTCTCCAGTAAATGCATTGCTTGAACATCTTCTCCTTGCTTGTAGGTTGGTCCTCTTCAAACATGGTGGCTAGCATGTCAAGAACAATACTGTACCACTCAATGTTATGGAAATATCCCCAACACTCCAAGCTATCAAGGATGCAACTCATATCAGGAGTCATGGGCTTGGCATTTCCACTCATGATGAGTTGTTCCAGGCAGGGAGAGTCAAAGCTACTCACTGCCACACATTTCAAGGACCTGAAACTGGGATGCTGGACCTCTCCTGCCTCCAGCAAAACATACTTGCACTCAAAGCTGTACCTGGTAGCCCTTAACTCATTGTAGGGATAGAAACTCTTATCTAGTAGCCACTTTGAAAAGACTTGACTAGTGTTGATCCTCATAGTTTTGTAGTTGTAATGATAGCCTCAACTGTTGACTCCCTCCAATTCAATGTGGCAATCCGATGTCGCGAACCTCTACGGAAACGTCGTCTTCGAAAAAGTGAGGAGTTCAAAAAGAGCGAACATGTACCACTTGCACGGACTTAAGCATGGTGGTTGATTCCTGCAACGCCTAACTCTGAAAATTTCAAATTACTGTCTCGAGTTGTACTGAGATTTATTTATTTAGACGAATTAGTGTCCAACGGTGTCATATAAAAATTTCAGTACTATGTTACTAAGACCTACCTCGAATCTCCCCGTATCTTGACTTAATTTAAGCCGGCAGCATTGTTAGTTTCCGCGGTAAGCCTCCTGCACCTCTGGATAAATTGGCTCTAATGCTTGAAATGGGTTGGTAAAATTTCAAAACAAATAATTTTGCTGAAAATGATTACCAGTATGACTTGGAACAGAAAGGATCTCTGGCTTAGGATCACTGTCTTTAAAGCCTGGATTCCGGGCTTGAAAGCCAGTGTTCCAAGGAACAGAAGCCAGTGATCCAAGGCGTTAAAGCCAGTCTTCTTTTCTGTTCCAGGATGACTTTACTATACAATTTCAGTAGAATCATGGTTCCAGCTGGATCAAAGTAGAAGACTAGCTTGTTTCCAATTATTTAAGGGAAGCCAGTGTTCCAAGGAACACTGGCTTTGAAACCCGGAATCCAGCAGGGTGCGGACATGGGATTTAACAGTGCTGCGTGAAACTAGTAGCTAACTAGTAGTTTCACGCAGGCTTGCGTGAAACTAGCTTGAAACTACTAGTTTCACGCAGGCTGCGTGAAACTAACTGTGTGAAATTAGCCGTTAGTTTCACGCACGTAAAGTTTCACGCTTTTTGGTTTAGTTTCACGCTTTTGGGTTAGTTTTAGTTTCAAGGAAACGGTGGTCCATTTTTGGTGAAACTAACAAAAAGCGTGAAACTAACCAAAAAGCATGAAACTAGTCCCATTTCAGGACCTTGCTGTCATAACATGCCCCCCTCCCTCATCAACATCATGATGGTGCTCCTTGCCACAATAGGGACCAGTAATCTTCATAGTACCCTGCTCCCTCAGAGCAACAGGAATGCCAAAATATTCCTCCTTAGAAAGGGAGCCGGCTCTACATCAATAGTACTAACTTGAAAACTTGAAAATTCACGAACATTGCCCTTGAATACTCCGTTTTGTGACTAGCTAGCACTTACTCCTGACTAGAAACACTCTCTTGACTGCTCTCTTGACTGCTCTTTAGTGGAAAGTTGGCACAGGGAGGACATTTTCGCTTTCGGGAAACGTCCAATTCATGGGCGGATCCCAAGGTCACACATTCCACTTGAAATATGACTACCAGGAGTTTAGTGGTTTTCTCAGTTTTGGCTTTGAAATCCTCTCCAATCTTCAAAAAGCCGGGCTCATCGTCTGCGCCGGATCCCCAACAAAGCACTGTCACACAATCCATGTCGTGCTCTGCGGCGAAACAATCCTGCTTTACTTTGGCCAAGCTGGATCCCAAAAAGACCTTCCCTTTGAGCTTGGATACAAAAATCATGCTGCATTGGACACCGCTTTTGATTCTCTTGAAGACCTGATTGAGCACAGAGGCAGTGACGCCATCGGCATAGTTTTTGCATTCAATACATATGAAAGGTTCCTGCGTCGTCTTCCCTGATGGTAGCATATTTGAAATGTAGCCATCTACTTTGGCTTGGTCTTCGGGTCTCGACAGGAATCCCAGAACGGAACCTGTGCCCGCTGCAATTTCTACCGGTAGCGAAGAATCAGAGCCACCCAGACCAGGAACCAAAGGCCAATCAAATTTGATCGAGTCGAAAAAGTCACCCTTTTTGGGCAACTCCCTTAGATGTCCTGGTAGCATGAGTCGACGAACTAGAGGAAGGAACTCCAGCAATGGTACACCAGGAAGGTAGTCTTTGTCGCCACTTCCCATCTTCATAGACGCCAAGGTCACTGAAGCATGAACCAAAACTTCCAGGATGTCCCCATTCATCTTTTGAGCATCAAGATTTGCAATATTAGCCCTCGGAGTGAACACATTCGAGCACCTGACGAAGGCTTCTCTCACAGTCAATGCCTGACCCCGTTCGTCCACCAAAGGGAACATGTTGGTTACTTCATGATTTCGTTTCAACATTGCTTCCTCCCAAGCCACCAATGCTAAATAGAGAAGAGGCTCATACTTTGCGCTGACTGGGGCAACCGCAAGGGTAGACCCGAACGCTGAAGCTGCCGTAGTGGTGTAGGCTTTTGCTCCAACGCCGCCCCTACCATCGCCGGAAAGTCGTTGGTCCAGATGCCCAAAGTGATGTCCGACAAGGTTATGGGCGACACTGAAGCCTCTCTTGTTGATGTCAATGTCCGTGCAAAAAATTTGGACCAGTTGTAGCGCTGGATTCATAGTCCAGGCGCGACGTTTCGCTTTTTGCAGTTTTGTCCGGATTTTCCTCACAATCGCACGCAATGACATGGATTCATCTTCCTGGATAGCATTGACAGCCATCTACAGGACGAGAAGGCGCTCGGACTGCTTCAGAAACAGTTTAACTCCAGAGTAAGGGGAATAGCAAGGGAGACGTCCCAAGATATGCGTCCAGATAGAATCCGTATCTCGGCCGGAAGCGCGAGAAGTTGTTTCGATGTAGTTTTGGGAGCCTGTATGTGTGCTCATTAGTATGGGGGCCAAGCCAAGGTAACGTAGAGTATCTCTCATACATAAGGCCAACTCAAACTCCAAATGGGCTTCATTTTGTGCAGGAACTTGATCCAGAAAAACGAGAAATTTTTGGTTTTGAATCTTTTCTTTGAGCGTCTTCAACTTTATCCGGGTCGTCGACTGCGGTCCTTCCTCGACCATGAAAAGATAGTATAGCATCTGCACAAAAAGAGTCCTTCCATCATCTTCATTCTCCGCCCAACGCTAAATAAAAGTAGCACTTTTGGCGTCACCAGTTTTGGCAAACTCGGAGAGTCCTTCCATGAATGTATCGAACTCCTTCGTGCCATGGGGTCGGTAAAATCGTTGCAAAGATCCAGCATCGCTTCCCCCATATGCACCAAAATTTAAATATATTGTAGTGGCCTTCTTGTAGGTAAGAGCTGCTGTTGCGGCTAGCTGTGTTTTGCCCGTGCCGCTCGATGCAATGATTGAAGCAAATGAATTGACATTGACGTCGCCGTGGGAGCCCCCTTGTTCCTGGAGCTCCATCAGATAATCCAGAAAGGGTGCAGCCTTTGTTTCCCCTTGCTCCGCAGCTGCCACATAATCCTCAAGATCTGATTCAAGAAGCAAGGGCCGAGGCAATCGGGCGTTCCGGCGAAGTCTCATCATCTGAACGAGGCGCTTGAAATGATCCTGCAAATGTTTTGTTGACAATGCAGCGTTCATCAAATCATCTTCCCACCCAAACTCGTCCTTGACACCTTGGGCAAGAAGAGAAGCATTTATATTCTCGCCGTCGATCCGATTAAGCATTGTCTCCACGTTTTGGACCAGATTAGAATTGAAACCCTTGGCTTTCAACTCGGAACTAACCCAAGCTATCATGTTGGCTTTGGAATGATAATCACACTGAGTGTTAGTGTTGTCCATGGTTGTTTTGATCGAATTGAATTCTCCCCTCTTATTAGATCCTTGTTTTCTTTGCAAAATCAAACAAAAATTGTTCGTGTTATTGATTACATTAGTAACAATGACAGCAATGGAAAAAATAAATAAATAAATAACTATGGAATGGTATCGCAAGCATGCGGCGTGGCGTCAATGGAAGCAAACTCCAACGCAAGACGAATAAGTGTGCATCTTTGTGTGACTCTGAGCCGACCGTGACTGAAACTGCTCTTGTCCATTTTATTATTAAAGCTCAGGCATGAGATTCCCAAACTCAAACAATGCCGCAGGATCAATGTCAAGGTCTGCTAGATCCTTTTGAAGCTCAATAATAGTTGCGTTTTGGATCTCCTTCTTGTGTTGCCGCAGGAACTTTCGCAGTTGCTTCGTCCTGTACTTCCTCTGACCTCGTTTGATTTCGTCTTTGGATGCAAAATAGCTACCATTGCTTGATTCATTGTCATTGCAATCTCGGACATGTTCGTGTGCGCCCTGGGAAGTTGAAACGGGATGGTGACAATACCCACAGAAATTCCCGTGACAGATGGCACACTTCAAGGCCATACATCCATCAAATTCAGCATAGACTGCTTTACAGTGCGGGCACTTCAAGTTGAGGGCCTCGTTTCTTGCCCGCTTTGCGACTAGCTCTGCCTTCATCTTGACCCGGGCATCCGTTGACTCATATCTCTCCATGAAGTCCTGAATGTGATCTTCTAGTCTTTGATCAAACTGCTTGGCCAGAGTTTCTTCCGTGTGCTTTACCTTGGCATCGAGAACTGCTGAGTTTACCTCCTTCCAATCCTGGGGCTCGAGGTGATTGGCAAGTGTCTGCATTTCAATGACTTCCTTGCAGACACCGCAGGTGATGCAGGCGTGGTTCGCAGCGAGCGACGGTATTTGGCTCTTCACCATGGTTGCAACACAGGTTGTGTTTGCGGATCCATCGGCTGCTGAGCAGAAGAAATGGCCGGATATACAAGTTACACCTTCGTCTCGATTACGGGGCTCGCAGCAAACTAGGCATTCCAGAAAGGCATCGTAGCCTGATTGCTTCACCCAAAAGTCAATCTTTTCAAAGACCAGCTTCACAATGGCGTTTCCCTTGAAAAGTCCTCCGTTTTTCGCACACACCCTGATACTCTCAGAGTCAATTTCTAGGAACGCTGAGTTGGATAAATGTCCCAACAGAGCTCCTTGCCCCTCCGCACCTGAAATCAATTTGGATAACTTGGTGACAACTCGAGTCCCATAAGCACGTTCCACCAAAACGAAGAAGCGCCTCGGTGGAGTCATCAGAAGAAGCGACGTAAACTTGGCCAGGAGCACGTCCGAACTTGGCCCCGTTATGAGAATGCCGTGTTCTTGATTCCCATACTTTTTCAAGGGTCCTGGCTCCGTGACCTGAGACAGCCCTTGCTCCAGGGCTTTCTCTCGAAGCATATTGAAGAACGGTGGATAGTGGACCATAAACCAAGGGATCGTATGAGGAACCAAGCTTAACACTTCTGTAGTGTGAAAACAGGACCCTGGTACTTGCTGGATTGTAGACGAGTAGCCCGACAAGGAGGTCTGCGAATTGGCAAGCGTGGAACTCATCTTCGAGTTCGAGGAGAGCTTCTTCGACACGGCACTTCCGAGAGAGGGAAGGCTGCGGCGAGCCACTGGCGTGAGTTCATATTCACCGGCGGAAATTTGGTGATCTCTCATTTCTCCTTTCGTATGAGCAAAGCTACAGTTTTTCTTGAACGGGCAGTCTTGTGGGCCACGGCGACAGATGACAGTTCGAAAGTTGGCCGGATGATACATGATTTCAACTTGATTGTTGGCATTCTCTGGTAGGTAGAATTCCTCGAAAGGATCTCGACGCATGTCGCTTTCATCGTGGTAGTTAGTACAAAGTTTTTTGTCGTGATGCTCTTCGATAAGGCATCTTCGTGTCTTGTAGACTGCGAGGAATTGTCTCACCGCGGCTTCCCTGGATGTAGCACCGTTGGTGGTAGCAGTGGTCTTTTTCTTATGAACTCTTTTGTGGGATGCAGGGCCTACGGTCGCCCATCCCTCTAGCTGCTGAGCCATGGTGTTTATCAAGACAGCCAGCTCACACTATAGGGGCAGCTCCCAAGCAGAATTGCAGTGAATACACAAAAACCCAGCTACCTGTAGCTAACGAGTAGTTATCGTTCGAAAATTTTCCAAATGGTACTCAGTCACAGTAGCAGTCGTACCGATGCAGCAGTGCCATATTATCCTACTGTACTAGACTAGTATGGACAACTCCAATGCCAAAAAACTATGAATGGGGCAGATTGATTGGAGTGGTCTTGCCCAATGCTATAGTTTGTGAAAAGCGAGAAAGATCGTGGACTACCAGCGTGGATTTCAATGCACGCACCAAAGCCTTTCTTTCGACAGTCATTCATCCAAGTTCTGGTGAACCTTGTGCGCACTTTTTGTACCAGTAAGAATGTGAACCAGAAAGTCCGAGTAGATCTAGACTAGTCTAAGCACAAGATTTATTAGCTCTTTGCGTTTACGACGTCACCTTTCTCATTGTCACAGTGACCTGTTAACATTTGCCAACGTCACCAGAGTTCCAGTGTTACGTGACTGCGATTGCAAGTGCGCCGACGGATTGCCAATAACGGTCCTCATACCGTTGCTTTGGCTTACTCAATCAATACCGTACTCCTTTGGGAAGAAGAATTAGGAAATGCTGGAGTTGTTGTAGGCACAGGCTAGCTAGGGAATGCGCACAACATGGTGGTACAAGAAGGGGACAAACTAGATTTGTTTAGGCTTTTAAAAGGGCAACAGAGGATTGTTCAACCTGGAAGACAGAACACCTCGCTAGCTAGTAGTTGGGCTTGGACGTATACATATTATCTCGACTAGTTACTAGAGCTCAGATTGAATGCAACATGAGCAAGCATGTTCCATAGCTAGCTAGTTTCAGTGTCAGGGCGGGATCTTTTGATCACAACTACAGTAGAAACTGTAGATTCACGGTATATTTCAACCAAAATGAGGAGTTGTAACTGAGTAAGCAAGAATGCTGGATAGATGAACACCGGCAGATAACAAATCTTGCTTGTTATCAAGCTGAAGCTTTGGGTTTGGTTGGATCTCAACCGACAAAAGAGCAAACAATCTGGAGGAAAAAATACTACGAACGCTTTCCACAGCTAACTATAGTACCAGTAGTACTAGCTGGTAGCCTTTCTAAAGTATGAGCTCTGGGAGGGACACCAGTTGTGCGGCTAGCTACCGTTACTGTAGTACGGCAGCCAAACCCTGTAAAACATGTGGACAGTATCAAACCTACGGTAAGGTTGTGCGATCGAGACGGCACTCAACGTGCGGGCGGCTTGCCCATTGTACTGTCTGCACGACACTTGAAATTTTGTGGCTCCTAATTTTGTGCCTTGCCAGCCGGCCGTGGTGCACCAGCACAGACTGTCCCACACACAACATGAAGTGGATGTCAATGGAGTTCGTGCTGTTGCTGGTTACTCTTCTGGTTTTTAGTTTAGTCGTTCAAAGGTTATCACTGAATCCAAGGTTTTCGTCCAAGGTTGATTGATCGGTTGCCAGAGTGATAGCAAACGGACGCTTAGTAGCTAGTAGTATTGTAGTCTCTAGAGTACCGATAGTGGAACAATCTCCAAAGTTTTCTTTACAAGAGTAGGGACTGTTCCGTTGTTGCTTTCTTCATCAAGCTAGCAAGGCTCATTCCGTCGGAGCCCGAAAAACCTCACGGGTTGGATCCCATCTTGCGTTGGACTGAGTTGAAACGTCAGAGTCCCACAACAGTAACAACCACAACAACCACAACAAGAAACCACCTGGACCTCTTGCGGTTTCCTCCATCTTGGCGGTCGCTTCCACCGTTCCACTCACAAAACTCATTGATTGACTGAGAACAAGAACACAACAACAACAACAACAACAACAAGAACCATGCCGACCAAACAAATCTCTCCCGCCGCATCTCCCAGTTCTTCCTCGTCTCCTTCGGCTGCGCCATCATCGAATGAAGTGTTGACGACATTTTCTCCCAAAAAGTCTGTCTTTCGCCGTCGCAAGCGGACATCCTCCAACACGGTGCCCACGTACACACGCTCTCTCTCGTCGTCGCAACTCTCGTTGGAAGAAGCCATTCCCAAGAAGAAAAAGAGTCTACTCAAACGACTCCTCAAATACAGCGGAGGCGGCAGCAGCAGCAAATCGATGCACAAACAACAACTCATTATTGCGACACACCCCGAAGTGGAGGAAGACGATGATGACACGGAAGAACGTTGCCATTTGGACAATGGAGAAGAAGAAGAAGCCATTGCCTTGGATTCACGGGCGTGTGACGAACGCAACAATGAACTCTACGAACAAGCCATGGCTACTTGGACACAAGCATTAGCGTTGGTCAAGGAGGTTCGATTGACGCATCAAATCAAGTGTCGCATGATTTCACTTCACCTCTTCCTCCATGCTTCTAGTAGTAGTGAGCTTCATTTGGAACGCGCCAATCAATTGATTTCCGAATTGGAGCCATTGGAAGATGACGATGGTGCGGCATTGGCATTGGAAGGATCACCCCTATTGTTGGAGTTATTGATGAAACATTCTTGCTGGGCGCTCGCGCTGCAAGTGTCCCATTCCATGCCTCATATGGACCCACTTGTCTTAGCGAGACTTCATTTGGAAGTGGCACTCGAAGGAGGAGAAGAAGCCATCGAAAAATATCACGATGAAGAAGATGAACTAGACGATCCCCTGTTGGGTGAAAAACGATTCCAACAATTGTCGCACCTATCCGAATGCCATCAATTGCTCTTGTCATTACACGCCAACGCCAATGAAACTACTTACCAAACACTCTGGCAGGAATTGGCACAAGCGTACGGTGTCATGGGTGAAGATGAACTCGCACTGGGATGTTCGCAATCACGGCTCAGTCATTTGACATCACCCCTCGAAGTCGCATTGGCGCATTACGATCAAGCACTCAATGTACTGGCGCCAGTTGGACAGTACGAATTGGCACTCAAGGAAGCCGAGTTGGCCTTGGATACATTGCAACGCGCATTTTCACCGCAGCAGCCCGCGTCCACCAATACGATTCTAGCCGACACTAAAGAAGGCGTCGAGGAAGGTGACGAGGTGGATTTGTTGTGGATTCGGCTCTATCAATTCAAGGCGGATGTATTGTGTCGCATGGGACGACTCATGGAGTCGATTCACAGTTATGAACGACTCTTGCAGTGCTACAAGTCTTCCTCTACGCATGGGCCCGCGGATGCCGCCAATGTCTTGTACATTTTGGGCAAACTGTCGGTTCGGGCCAAGCAATTCCACGCCGCACTGGATTACTTTGATGAAGAACTGACAATGACCAAGAGCGTGGTGGGGCACACCCATTTGGCCATTTCCAAAATTCTACACGAATCTGCTCGTGTCGCTGATGCCGGCATGATGGATTATCCCCGGGCGGTGCGCTATTACCAAGAAGCCTTGCAAGTCGAGACACGCGTCTACCAACAGTCCAAACAAGAAAATGGGACGTCGCTCCTGCAAGATGCCAAGGCGCAAATGGGGGAGACCAAACAGTGCTTGGGAAAGTTGCATTTCAAGATGGGGGACTTTACCAAGGCCATGAAGACCACCTTGGCGGTGGACAAGTAAAACAAAAAGGCTGCTCATCAATTTGGCATGTCTTTGTCTGAGATTGTATTGTACGGTAGGCCTTCTGAGCTCTTTTTGTGTTAAAAAGAAAAAGAGACAGGATGTAACATGATTTTCAATTTCGAGGAAGAAAGATGCAGCATTCTACAAAAAGAATCATACCAGTAGTGTAACAAATACAGTAAGCTGCACCTACAGTATATTCTATCCATCTCACCTTATGTAGCTAGCTAGCTAGATACTTTGGTCTCCTTGTGTTTTACTTTGAGACCGACCGAATGTTTTGGGGGAGGTGAAATTCTCGTGTTCTGGAGTCCGTTCCTTGTGATCATCATCTCAGCGGCGAATGAGTGGAGGTTGGTTCCGTATCTCGGTAGCAATCTCTAGCTAGAGCTACTGTTACATCCACGCAAGGAACCCATACCGTACCACATAGTACATGGAATAGTAAAAGCCACCACCAGGAGGAGGAGTTGCACGGCTATCTTATCTAGCTAGCTAGGCAGCATGATATACAAGCACTTATGCCTCAAACAGATGATGAAGAAGTCTTTATTAATAATAGGAAAGTTAGAAATCTAAATCCTCCACAACACTTTTTGGATACCCATGACCATCACTACCAACCATAGCTCTCACAAGCTAACAGCAGCCAAGCTATCCGCGATGCCAGTGATGGGGAAGCCAATGAACTATACTTTGGATCCATCCACACAGCCAAGTTTATATTCCTTGATTGATCTGATCTACCTGGGTTGTGAGAGATTTACTTTCCTGCAGCTCCCATAGAGGTGACTGGAGTCTTGGCTCCTTGGACTCCACCGGACCAGACGGATGTGTTGTATTGGAAGGCTTCTTGTGCCATGGCCTTGGTCTTTGCGGGTTCCTTGAGAGCACCTCGCATTGTGCTGGCTGCCTTATTCACATACTGTCATGTAGCGTTGCGTCGTCAAATACATGGTTGGAATAGGACAAAAGAGAACAAGGTGGAGAAAGGAGGAGTGAGAATCGGCAATTCCCAACAAAACTGAAAGATGCTACCCTGGAGATCCCACGAACTCCCTTGAGGATGCCTCTG